AACCTGTGTTGTTAATTTAGTCATTTCTTGATCCTTTGCTTTCTGGATTCTTTGCATATTCTGGATATTAATCTTCTCATAAGATCTATAGCTAGCAAAGATTCTTTCTTACTCCACTCAATTATTTCCTTTGAAGAAGCATTTTAGTCTCATTAGGTTCCACTTGTCAATTGTTGGCCTTAATTTCTGAGCAAATGGAGTTCTGTACAGAAACTTCCTGTATCTTGTAGGGCACTGCCTATGTTCCTTCTGGTCCTAACATTTGAGGCTTCATGCTAAAGACTTTTACCATTTGGAGTAGATTTTGCACAGGGTGATAGCTATGAGTCCGATTTTGTTCTTCCACATATGGACACCACATTTTTGTGAACTTTCATTGACTTTAATTTTATGGACTCCCATTTGTTTGGTCTTTTATTTTGCTCCACTGATCTAAATGTCTGTTTTGTGTTAATATATTTTTTCATCAGCATAGCATTGTAAGATAGCTTGAAATTTGGTATAACAATCCCTCAAGCATTGCTCATCCATTCTTTTAATGTTTCATAATTAATTAGTATAGGTTTTTAAAGCATTACCTTATAATATACTATATTTCTTTGTTCATTTGGGTCTTTTTCTATATACATATATTTTGTTAACTGTGCTTAAGATCCTTTGATCATGCTTATCTTTTCAAAGAACAAGCTCTTGGTTTTGTTGGTTATTTATATTGTTTTCTTTGTTTCTATTAATTTCTGTTCTGATTTTATTATTTCTTGCCAATTACTGGATTCCAGTTTGTTCACGTTTTTTCCAAATTCTTGAGTTGCATCTGCAAGTCATTTATTTATGTAGTTTCTGTTTTTTTAATATAGATACTTAGAGCTATACATTTTCTTTTTAAAACTATTGTTAATGTGTCCCGTAGGTTTTGTTGTGTTGTCTTGTCATTTTCCATTGCAAGATTTTATTCATGTCTTGATTTTTGACCCATTTATCATTCAGCAATGCGTTAATAACTCTGAGTTCATATAGTTTCTTTAGATTATTTTGTGACTGTAAGCTTTACTGAACTACAGCTACAGCATACAAGGACTAACTTATGTCAATTCTTTGGTATTTGTAGGGATTTGTTTCATGCCTCAGTATGTGGTCTGTTTTGGAGAAATTCCCAGGGATGGCTGAGTAGAATGTATAATCGTTGGTGTTTTGGTAGAATATCCTATAGCTCTCTCCTAATTCTATTTGTTGTATAATGTCACCAAATTCCAATGTATCCCTGTTTATTTTTGTCCAAATGACACACCTCCTGGGGAGAGCAGATCTTAAAATCACCTACTATTATTGAATTGTGCTTATTCTGTGTCTTGAAGTCTAGTAGTATACTTTTTATGAAATGGGGTGTGCTAGAGTTTGGAGCATTTGTGTTTGTAGTTGTAATGTCTTCTACGTTCATTTTTTCCTTGATTAAAATGAAGCGTACTCCCTTACCTCTTCTGATAAACTTTAGTGTCAAGGCTGGTTTGTCTGATAGTAGAGTGGAAACTCCTGATTGCTTTCTTGCCCCATTTGCTTGGAATATGTTTTCCTGCCATTTCACTCTAAGATGGTACCCATTCTTGAAGCAAAACACTTTTCAAAGTCTGTGTTCTAAGTCCAGCCATAGGCTTAATAAGCCAAACAGTCTAGAGGGTGGGGCCTAAAACTGACATTTTAACAAGTCTCTTGATGAATATTCTACAGTCATGAAATGATGAAATAATTGTGATAGTGATTCATGGTGGTACCCAAGAGACATAGAAAAGCCCCAACTAAGGTACCACTTGAGAAAAGTGCTAGCAAGGACAAGGGCAGGTAAGACACTAATATGAAGGAAGCTTCTGAAGCCAACACTGCTGTTTCTGTTATTCTATCAATTTCTGCTTATTTTAGATGGTTCCATCTTTTTTATTCCTGATCTTACCAGTGTCAGTTTCAGAGGCTACTGGCATGATCAGCATAAAACCTGAAGGCTCTCGGGAATTAAACAAATATGCATGAGACTCTGCCCTTTTTGACTCATCCCTGTTTGCATTTCCAATGAAACCCTAGAAAATTTGAGACACCTAATAGAAACTCTGAATAAAGTGAAGTAACGTCCAAACCCACTAGTGCAGGCCTGCCATCCCAGTCACTGGGAAGCTGAGAAGATTGAACATTCAAGACATGAGAGTTTATCTCAAACATTTAAAAGTAAAGATAAGACTAGGGTTGCAGCTCAGTTGAAGTTGTTAAGCATGTGTGGGTCTCTTAAACCAGTACCCATTTCTGTGGGGTAGAGGAAAGTAACAAAGTGAATTTCAAGAATCGAGTAGGAAGGTTATAGAAAGCTCCTGAGAAAATGCATCATTTTTGAGAACAGTCCCTCAACCTAGGCACTGTTGACTGTGGGGACTACCCCATCCTTTGTAGGATGCTTACCACTGTCCTTGTGGAAAAAAGGAAACTTATGGAAGCCTGTAGCATCTCTATCTCAACATACAACAACCCCAAAATATCCTCACATATTGTCCAGCATCCCCAAAGGGCAAGAAAGCACCCAGCAAAACTGTTCATTTAAGGCAGTTCGTCTCCTTATTCACAGCTTCAAAACAAACTTAAACCATAGACTTCCTCAAGATCAATGTTGTTTTCTTCTCCTGACAAATTATTAAAATGCCCTGACACACCCCTGCTGTTGCTACTACAAAGTCATTGAGTCCTTGAAAGAAACCTTAGCACTGACAGTTTGAAATAGAGAAACGTCAATCAAAAACTCAGAAGAGAGGGAAAGGAGGCATGAGGCATGAGAACAGCAAGACTTTTTTCCCACAGGAAATGGTTCCTAAGACTTCTCTGAAGAAGCTGGAAACCACCTGGGGAGAAGGAACGGGATGTCAATTTGTTCTATCTGGAGCTGATGACTAAGTAAGGACAAGGATATGTCTGCCTCTCTTACTTTCATCTCTGAGACAGAGCCCATTAGTATCTCAGACCAACTGCTAACTCTTTCTGTATTTGCATTTAAATGGGAAATAAAATCCTAGCATAGGTGGCTTACTGGCCAAGACCTGGCATTCTGTGCTCTGTGTTCCCATGCTGCTCTGCCCAAACTCTTTAAGGAAAATGGAAACTCTGTGGCTGTTTACTTAATACCTCCTCCAGGGAAGCAACTGCTTGGCCATTACAGAATGGCTGTCCCTCCAGAGGTATGAGGTCAGTACCATTGCAAGCAAGAGATACAGTTTCTAGAATGCCAAGTTCAGCTTAGGAGGCAGTCTGAACTCCCCAAATGAACTTCTGTGTACATGCAAGCCCTAACAGACATAAAATGTTTTATTCAGTTCAAGGCATGCTGACTTGGATTAATAAAGGAAACAAAGTTTTATACCTTCCAGATTATTCTCAAATGGCATATCACTGAAAAAAGGCAGCCCAAGTATTATGGTGGCTTGGGGAACTGTATTATGTTTCTGCATCTTTCCAGGAGATAAATGAAATGTCACTACCATTGAGAATTTAGCTAGAGCAAACTCATATTCCCAGCACACAGAGGCAAAATGCCCCTAAAGGTTTGCTTCTTGCTAATGCTCTCACTAACTGCACATAAAGAGTGAGAGTCATTCTACCAAGTGAACTACTTACACACATTCTTTTTCCAGAATTCACTTGGCTTCCATTCAATCTTGTTTTACATTTATATCTAAAAATCAATACAAATTTAATCTTCTAAAATGTTATTTCTTAGTCTACAAGAAATGCAATGAAAGTTTATTTTAATCACTGATAGATGGAAGATTATTTTTTAACCTCATAGGAGACTTTAATATTTTTTATTTATAAAGTACTTATGGGAACAGCTGAAAGGAGTCAGGAGCAGGAAACAGAATTTGCTTAGCAAGTACAATAGCTTTAGGTGGTTGGAAGATTATTGGGAGTGGCCAAGTGGGAATGGTGGGGTAGTGGTAGGGTTAACTTCCTTGCTACTTCAACAAATAACTCCATGGATTTCCTCTCATATGGATGTAAAAAGAGAGTTGTAACTTGGTATCTATGGAGGATTGCCTCAAAGATCTCCCATAGATACCAAAATCTGTACATGTTAAAAACTTACCTACAATGGTATATCACTTACATGTAGTGTATTCAGACTTTGTTTAGTTTGAATGACCTCCAGATTGCTTATAATAACTACAACATAAATGCAACAGAAATTATTTTATATGTTTGGTTAGGTTTTTTGTTGCTGTTGTTTTTTGCTGGCATGTATGCCTAAGCATCCCATAGGTACAATATCCATAGAGGCCAGAAGAGGTATTGGATCCCCTGGAACTGGAGTTATAGATGGTTGTTAGGTCCTGGAACTGAACTCAAGTCCTCCACAAAAGCAGCAAGTACTTTTAACTGCTAACCCAGCTCTCCAGCCAGAGATGGGTTTAGTTGAGATGTGATTACCTTTTAATGTTTTAGTCTGTTATTGGTAGAATCTGCACAGGTCCTTTCAATACAGAAGTTATTGTAATCTCAACATCACTAGTAAGGACAAATTATGTTCCAATGGAAAAATTTGAATGAACATCATTGCAACCCATCTCACTCCAGTAACCTCAGAAAGACCTATCATTAACTGGAGTTCAGCAAACAGCTATGGGGACATCAGCTGGATCTGGCCCTACCAAGGTAAGCAAACACAGATAAGCGCCTGACTTCACAAATCCCACACTACATGGGAAGCAGTGGGTAGGGAGCGAAGGAATACAGCTATCCATGTAAAATATAAGCCAACAAACACTCAGACACTGAACCCAAAGGCAACCAAGGATGGATTCCCTGAAGAATAATAGTTAACTAGAAAGGAAGATGAGGCAGCTTGTCATATGAGAAGGAAGAACTGCCTCAAAGGCTCTGTGACAGGGACCAACAGAAGGCCAGGGAGGCCCCCGGCCCGAGTTAACAGTTCCTACAGCTGTAAATTACAGTTGACTTTTGTCCATACTTGCCTTAGTGGTTTTGACTTTATTGCCACTGCTACAGGACCAACCGGAGGAGTCTGGGAGCACTCTGCAGTCCTCTCCTTCTAAGCAAGGATCCATGTGGCACCACCACTTCTCAATCACAATGGAAGCTGGAAAACAAAGATTGCATTGTATTTGTGCCATGCTTTCTTCCTCCACATGTGGGTGGCAAGGCAGAATACGGATTAGCCCGGGACACAAACATGACTCTGGAACGATTGCTGCATAACTACATTGACAGAAGTCAGCTGTGCCTCCACACAAGCAGGAAAGTGCATTGCTGGAGCTAGCTACCCGATGGAATAGAGCCGATGCTTTGTGGGGTACCTGCCCTGATTAGGACCTCAGTGAGTTCCTTTCTTCATTGTTTTGTGACCTTGGGCTTGTCATCTAATTTCTCTTAGCCTCGGTTTCTCCAAAGAGACAGACATAAAAACACTTGCCCAAAGATGCAAGATGATATAGTGAATTCAGTACATGCTAGATACTGTGATGGCCATCCTCTTTGGTTGTAGGGTCCAGAGCAGGTATTGATACTGCAATGTTATTCTTGGCTATGAACAAAGAACATCTCCATTAAAAGTTAAAGCTTCCACCCTGCATGGTGATCATCTCCATAGGACACTGAAGTGACTAGCTGAATGGTGAGCCACAATTTGTCGTGTAGTTAAAGCCAACTGAAAGTGACAGGACCCAGCCTTGCCTTATAGTTCACATGTGATTATTCTGGGATGTTCAGTTCACCTCTGAACTCATTATTCCCCATCCCTCACCAATAAAACTGTGTTTCATGTTCATAAAGCAGAAAATAGTGCAGTAGATTCTGGAATTGAATATAGACCAAAGTATATATGGGATGGTTAGTCCTGCAGGTTCATGGGATGCTGAATTGCAGAGGAGAATTCAGCCAGTGAGCTGGCACTGAGGTGTTGATCAGTCAAGAAAGACGGACCCTGTTTTCTTGTTGAAACAGCAATATTTACATAGAAAACTTCCCAAGTAGATGCTGTCATTCTCCCCCCTTTTGATAGTTATATTCTAGTTTCTGAGCTGTAGAGATGTGTGGGCCATAGATTTCTTTAAATTAAGGACTTTAATAGATGGCATCAGGGTAAACATGACAGCTTGCTATGCATGTACAATGTGCAATGATACCAGAATCATAAATTAATTCATCCATAGTTACTCCTCATTGATCATTAGATCCCCAAAACCTGTGTACTTTCTAACTGAAGATCTGCACCCCTTGAACAACAGCACTTTGATTCCAGTCCTAGCAAACCCTCCAGTTCTGGAAACCACAATCCTTCTCTGAACTAACAGGAATTCTACTTTTTTAAAATTATATATGCATGAGATCATGGAATCTTCTACCCTTTGGTTCCTAGCTTATTGCTTAAGCATACATCCCTTCTGGTTAATGCATGTTTTCACAGATATCAGGATCTCTTTATGTGAACAAATACTAGTCTAGTAAGATTATAGCCCACAAGATCCATCTCTCTCCCTCAGTGAAGTTATCGGGTTGTTCTCATCCAGCTGCTTCAGTGAAAATGAAGATACGGAAAAGCCTTATAAGTACTGACTTCCTGAGGCAAGGAGGGTTACTGCATATATAAACTTATTTTCTGAGGGTGTCTGTACCAGCTGTACCAGTTCAATTTCCTGGCAACAGCACATGAGCATTCCCCACATCCCCTTGTGGTTTTGATAACAGTCATTCTACTGATAGTGACGTAAAACACTGCTTCAGATGCCTGTTTGATATCTCTATGTGTTCTCTGAGAAAAAAGATATTCAGGTCCTTGGCTCAACCCTATATGGGTTGGACGAGAACCCCTTATAGAAATGTGATTTGTCAGGCTAGAGAGAGTTCCTTGGTTAAAAGCACTTGCTGTTCAGTTCCATCACCCATGTAGGGCAGCTCACAACTACCTGTAACTCCAGGTACAGGAGATTGATTCCTGCTTCTAGCCTCTGTGAGCACCTATGCTCATGTGCACACACAGACATGGGGGTGGGGAGGAGAGATCTTAGAAAAAGAGAAATGTGGTCTGAAACAGGTTCTCACATTCTCTCAGCTGCCCTTTTTTCTGGTCATTGTTCCCTTTGCAGAGCTTTTGGGCTGGTGGGTGTCCGCTTGTTTGGATTGTGTTTGTTGCCTGTGTTTTTAGTATCATACCAAAAAGGCCATTGACAATGTCAATGGTTTTTCTGCATTCACTTCTCAGTTTTGTAGTTTCTTATGTCAGAGTAGCCTGTGGTGTGTGGTATGGGGGAGTCCTGTGCTTGCAACTATCCACGTTTTCTAGTACCACTATTGAAGACCTGGCATACTCTTCAGCAAATATTTCTGGTGCCTTGATCAGTAACTTTATCACTGAGCTTTCTACCTTGTTCCATTGTTCTGCTTGTCTACTTTTATGGCACACCTATACTGTTGTATGATTACTACAGCTTTGAGATGTGCACGGATTAGGAGGTATGATATCTCTAGCCTTGCCTCCTTCTTGATCTATTTGTGTTCTTTGTGACTTCACATAAATTGCAGGACTTTTTTCCATTTCTATGAAAATGCCACCAAGTTTTTGATAGGGATCTGCAGGTCATTGTGGACTTTTGGCAACAATATTCGCCTCTATGTTGTTTAATTTCCTTCTGCAACATCACTGAGCTTCCAGGATGCTGATCTTTGGCCTCCTTGCTTAAATTTCCTAAGAATTTTGTTTTTATCACACTATCATAAATGGGATCTTTTCAAAATTCTTTATTACTATATGAAAATGCAATTTTTTCAATTCATTTTAATTTTTTTTCTACCTGCCAACTTTACTGAATCCAATATTGACTGTCTTCAGACTCTCACAAAGAAGTGAAGCAGGAAGACTGTTACAAATACATTCTGTAGAGCCAGCATTAGCCTCATGCCAATGTCAGTCAGACTTCTAGAAGTAAAGAAAATTACAGGCCAACATATTTCACAAAAATGAATGCAAAAAAAGAAACCCTCAAAAACACTAAGAAACCAAATTCAATAGGATACTGAAGGATTGCACAATACGGTCTGGTGGGAGTTGCCTCTCAAGTACAATGATGACTGAATATGAATCAATGTGATCCACTACATTCCAAGAATAAATGATAGAAACCATATGGTCACTTTGGTAGATATATTAAGGCATTTTTAATTCCAGCACTCCGGAGGTAGAGGCAGGAGGATTTCTGTGAGCTCAAGACCAACCTGGTCTACAAGAGCTAGTTCCAGGACAGCCTCCAAAGCCACAGGGAAACCTGCCTTGAAAAACCAAAATAAAAAAAGAAAGACAGTTCCATGCCCTTTAGTGATCGTAACTGTCAACAAATTAGGTAAAAAGGGGATGTATCTCAATAGAAAGAAAGCTGGAAATGCCAGTCACAGCTAGTGTTATAATCCAGGATGAAAAGAGGCATGCCTCTTAAATGGACATGAGAAGGATGCCCCCCCTCTTACCACATCTACTAAGCACAGCAAAGTGGGGCAGTTAGGTATAAGAGAAGAAAGGGCATGCAAGATGGACAGGGAACACTTAATTGTCCATCTAGATTACATGGCATTATATAGAGAAAACAGAGCAGACTCAATGTCTTAAGAAAGGCCATCAATGTCAAGTAAGTAAAAATTCAAAGTTCAGGCTCCACATAAGCTAAGAGCAAATTTTCCCATTGATTGCCAGTCTCCTTGCTAATTCTTTTCCTAGCTTGAAAACTCTAGTGTCCAGAAGTACAATGGGACTAGGGCAACATACACTCTAACATCAGAGCTCATATGCTGACCCTTAAATATATACTTTTTCCTTTACACTAGAAATTCCATCAAACACAAATCCTTGTTTTAAAAAAGGTAGCAATATAATTGTTACTACTTAGACATTTGTACTGGCCTGCCTTTGGAGTTCTGACAGAATACACCCTTAGCTGCTGCCACTAAGAGCACCACTTGTACCTATTCACTGTTCCCTTTTAAAAGGGCCCTGCCCACCTCCCATCCCTCTCTCTGTCTGTTTTCTCCCCCCTCTCTCTTCCCCCTCTCCAGCTCTCTCAATCTCTCTCTCTCCTGCCCTGCCTTTCTTTCCTCTCTCCTGCTGCTCCTGTCCTCTGAGGCTGGTCTCCCCTGCCTCCACTTTCCCTTTTTACAATCCTTTTCCCTAATTTAAAAAAAACTCCACTTGAACTCTGTCACATGGTGTCCTTCTCTCTAGAGCCACTTTTTTTTAATTTACAACAATAATAATACAAAAATTTATGTATTAAAATTGGGACATGGCAATACAATGTCATGAGAACATGGGATCATTGCACAACGTGCTAAAAGAGTCAAATTTTCTTCTATCCTTATGTAGCTACAGTTTCTGGGCTGCTGGCTGCTGGCCCCAATCAACAGCAATTATACCTGAGTCAGGTAGATTTGTGATCTAGGTTAACCATTCTCTATTTAAATCAGTACATTCCAAGACAGAAAATGGTACATTGCCACATGGGTTATTTATGGTCCTAGAGACTGCTACTGAACTGGGATAGATGGATATGAAACTTAAGAAAGTTTGGGGATCTTTTTTAGGTTCCAAATATCATAATGATCTCACCCTGCAACTGCGGGGAGCTTCTGTCATTTCAAAGTACCTTTACCCACTTTTCTTCTTCTGATTGTCCCAAAAGTTGTCAGAAGCAGCAAAGGACAGATGGAACCAGAAATAAAAACCAGTTTTTTTCTAAGTTGATAATTAAGAATGAAAGTACCTAACTTGAAGTGTATTACACCGACTCTGCCTAGCAGCCTTCCTGAATGTACTGTAATGTGTTTATAATTTTAACTGTAGCTGTGTGAGGTAGACTATAATGGTTTGATACGTGCATATAATAATCAGATAAAGGTTTTCATGGGTCTACACCAGGTCCTCTGTATACATATTATAACAACTAGCTTATTATTTTTATGGGATGTCTGACTGTGAGAACAAATGGGTCTCTAACTCTTATACCTTCTCTTAGGACCCTTGTCCCCCTGTTGGATTGCCATGTCCAACTTCAGTATGATAGTAGTTTTTGCTTTGTCATATTTTATTTTGTCATG